TATATATATATATATATATATATACATACTGAATGCTTCTGTTCAGTGCCTTGAGATGACTTCTGTTGTGACTTGGCGCTATATAAATAAACTGAATTGAATTAAATTAAATTACTTGACTGTTTCTGAGATTAAGAAACAAACTTTATGGCTTTTTTTTGCCTTATTAACCTTGGTATGGTTTACAGTTCTGTGCCCAGAAGACACCTTTGCTACACAAGTAAGAAAGATTTCCCCTAATGTGAAATTTTCAAATATTAAAATGCACTTCATTATGTAGTCTATTCTCCAAGCAATATATTCTTATTCCTTTGCACTCATTTTCAATCCGTTTTTATATGGGCTTTTGCTGTTTAGACAGTAATAACCACCGGCACCGAACATGAACAAAATAAATCAACCGGTGAATTAAAAACCAAGTACAGTACAATATTGACATGAATAATGTATGCAAGCCTTTTTTAAAGAGCACCTGCTGTGACCAATCACAGCGAACATATGCAAATATTACAACCAATAGGATGAGTTGGGGGCGGGTCTTCAGTTTTTTTTTTTCCCCCTTTTCTTTTTTTTTTGTGTGTGTGTTTTCCGACCCGCTGAAATGGCGGCCCGTAGCGTCGAGTAACTTTATCGCACAATAAATAATCAGAACAATAATATGGTCGTTTTTAAACATATAACATGAAGAAAAACATCACTGTGATGCTTCGGACGTTTTAGTCAGGACGTGCTCTTTTGACCTCAACGTTTGAAAGAAGTTAAAAGGTAAAAAACATAGGAAAGCTTCCAAATGCATCGCAGACGAGGCTAACGGTAACTAGCTAGCAGCAACGGCAGCCGTCGACTTGAGGAATATTAGTCAGCTGAGCTTCTTGGAGATAACCCCAGGCTGGAAGTAGACACGTTGGCTCTTGTTATCCGTACCAAAACGCAATTGCTTTTGTCGGAATTAAAATGACAAACGCTCATTTACAGTCGTGTGTGTGTGTGATGCTAACATTAGCTTGCTGGCTAACGTTAGCAGGAAGGCTCGTTTCAGAAAGAGCTGTCCCGAAGATTGTAAACCCACAAGATCATTTGGTATTCAACCAGCGAATGTCAACAATTAATTCACAACTCGTTTTCTTATTTGCAGCGATATTATGGAGGATCCTCATACACGATACAGTAAGCGTTTGGTAAGTAGCGACTAGCAGTTAGCTGCTAAGTGTTATTATGTTTACAAAACCGCTGAGATTTTTTCCTTATGCTTGTGTGTTACTCTTTTAACCAACTTGAAGCATTTTAGTGATTGAAAAGCGGTGTTTGAGTGGGTCGGCTCGCCTTTGGCAGTGATTGAGGATGTGTCTTTTATTGACCGTAATGAACTTGTTTAAAGACCCTCTGGGTTCAGGAGGAGGTCAAGTTCACCAGCTAACCTGACAGCATTTCTTCAGATTCCTACGACTATATCACCTCCTCTGGAAAACAGTTAACTAAACTCAAAGCATTATTTATACGTATACTTTGAAGTGTGCAAAATTACTTAGTTTAGTAATGGTTTTACTTTAGCTAATTTATGGTAAGTTGTTCCTAGAAAATACAGTTGTTCCTATATCTTAACAAGATTAAATGGTAAATGGACTGCACATAGCCCTTTTCTATCTTATCAATACACTCAAAGTGCTTTACACTACAATCTGTGCCCTCATTTACCCATTCATACATCACTCTACTATTTCTGTACAAAGAATAATCAGTGTTTTATCACATTCATGCATCGATGGGACACACATCAGAGGCAATGAGGGGTTCAGTGTCTTGCCCAGGGACACTTCAGCATGTGACTGCTGGTGGAAACTGGCTGATTGACTGTGAGAATGTGCTATTTATAAGACTGAATTTGTTGTAGTGCCTCAGACTGAAGAAGTCTTTTGCGTTAAAGACAAAACGTTTAAACAAAGAAGAATCCGTCCAGAGGACATGACGTAACTTTGTTTTCCTGATGCATGCTGAATAATCCAGGTAGAAATGTCTAAAAAAGTTAAGTCTGGTCCTCTGGTCATTCAAAAAAAAAAAAACAACAAAGCAAAACAACAACAACAACAAAAAAATGTAGAAACGTTTCGTCTTTCATCCGAAAGACTTCTTCAGTCTGAGGTGCTGCTGTTTATAAGACTGAGCTGAATACAGCACCTCAGACTGAAGAAGTCTTCCGGATGAAAGACTAAACGTTTCTACATTTTTTTTTTTTTTTTTTGGTTTGTTTTGTTTTTTTGAATGTCCAGAGGACCAGACTTAACGTTTTTAGATTAACTTTGTTATATTTTTCTATCTGGATTATTGAGCGTGCATCAGGACATTGTTCCTATAATTTATCTTCCTTTCCCATTTTACCTTGTTTAATTATAAGCAACCCCTTCCTTATGAAGTGATGTTTCCAAAGCTCTTATTTGTTTGAACTAAGTCCCTTGCATTAGTTTGAATAAAGCATTATGTTGTTGGGTTAAAGGGGTGGGGGTTGGGGAAATATGAGAGCAAGGGGTGTTGTGCTTGATCCATCTGCCTATCCAAGCAGGGCTTTATGTGGGAATGGATTGGGGGGCAGGGGGGTAATGTGTAGAAGATTAAACCCCTCTTTTGTAATGCTTTGTTTGTTTCTGACAACTGGTTTGGTGATGGGTTGGCTGATTCTGTTAGACTGATTTGTTGTAATTTTAATTCATGCATTAGATGGAAGACTACTTTTATTTTGCTAATAGCAATTTAAGTCCCTGTAACTATATAGATATAAGGAACATCTCCTACTGTTGTCACTTAATGCATGATCAGCTAGCCCTCAGTAACATCCTTTTTTATATATATCAATCAAAGGTTTTCTACGTTCATGTTTTATTTGTGCATTAATTTGTGTTGGACTACTTTTTCTGAAGTCCCAAGTTTGATTTTTATGTCAATTATTTATTCAAAAATTATAAATGTGATTGTTGTTGCTTAGTTTATAGTTTTAGAAAAACCTTTAAAGTGTCAAACTCATAGTTATACACTACAATGACTGCACTTGATGTGTACGTTAACACTTTGATTAAAAATAAATAAATCGACAATGTGTAAAAGATGATTTGGAAGAAAAAAAAGAGAAGAAAAATGTCACAATGCCCATTGTCAGAGTTTTTGCTGAATTCACCTTTAAGTATAGATTAACTCCTTCAGCTCTTGTTTATTGTTTCTTTCACACAGTATAGTTATTATTAATAATAAAACATTTAAGACAACTTACAAAAACAAAAAAATCAAGCTGTTCTTTTTTTTAGAAAGCATTCAGTGCACAGTATAAACAGATGAATGATGCTTTGTTGAGTTATCAGTGCTTCACTTATTGTAATAGAGAATAAATGAGTCAACCAAGGAGAATTTCCACCATCCTGGTCTTTCTTATTTTAGCTGCTCACTATAAATCCTGTTGCTTAAATATAACAGAACTTTTTTTTTGTTGTCCTCAGCGCACAGGTACACGCCGTCGCTACCAGGATGATGGAATCTCGGATGATGAAATCGAAGGGAAACGAACGTTTGACTTGGATGAGAAGTTGCAGTGTGAGAGGTTTGGCTCTGATCTGGTCAAACTTATGGAGGGTAAAGGTGAGATAGCTTCATGTAAATAAACAGAAGTACAAGAAAGATGTAAAATCAACCAGATTTGACCACAGAGTGTAGTATGGAGGCAAGAAAAGTCTATGCCAAGTTATACTTATTATTTATTTGTATCTGTGTCCCTTGAGTATTTTGCTTTGTGTGTTCCCTGATTAGATTTCACATATGAATACATACAGAGGGAAGGTCTCAGAGACCCCATCATTTTTAGAAAAGCTGATGGGCTTGGTCTACAGTAAGTTCCATTAACTTGTTGTTTATTAGAGAATATCCACAAAATCAGTAAATTTGTTCCAACAGATCCAAAAACTATCTCTCTTTTACAGAATGCCAGACCCTGATTTCAGTGTGAGTGATGTCAAGTTGTTTGTTGGTAAGTTTCTGAATTATACGTTTACAGTAAATGTTTTAACTGCTTGTACCCAAAATTCAACACAAGAACTGGTACGACAGCTTATAGCACCAACAGTTGCATCTAAAAAAAAAGAGAATATCATGAAAAAAAAGGTAAATTGTTTTGCCATTTATTTCAGAAAGTGAAACTCGTATATTACAAAGATTCATTACACATACAGTGAAATATTTCAAGCCTTTATTTATTGTAATTTTGATGATTACAGCTTACAGATAAAGAAAAATGAAAATTCAGTGTCTCAGAAAATTAAAATATTCCACAGTCCGCTTTTGGTACCTTTGGCAGTGTGGGCAGGACTGAAGTCCTGCTGGAAAATGAAATCAGTATCTCCGTAAAGCTCGTCAGCAGAAGGAAGCATGAAGTCTCTAAAATGTCCTGGTAGCTGCTGCGTTGACTGTGGACTTCAGGAAACACAGTGGACCAACACCAGCAGAGGACAAGGCACCAAACCATCACTGACTGTGGAAATTTCACACTGGACTTGATGCAACGTGGATTCTGATTGTAGTGTAAAGTTCTTTGAGTATTTTGATTAGATAGAAAGGCGCTATATAAATACAGTTCATTTACCATTTTTTTCCTCAGCCCAGGTTAGATACTTCTGACGTCTCTGGTTCAGGAGTGGCTCAGCTTGTGGAATGAGACATTTTGTAGCTCATGTCTAGGAGTTAATGACCTGATTAGGGTGTAACACCATGAGTTTTTAATATTGAACCTCTTCACAATATTCTAGTTTTCTGAGACACTCAGTTTTGTTTTTCATTATTTGTAAGCCACAATCATCAAAATTACAAGAAATAAAGGCTTGAAATATTCCACTCCGTGTAATGAATCAATGTAATGCATGAGTTTCAGTTTCTGGCGTGAATGACCTAATTTTTTAAAAACTTTTTCATAATATTCTAGTTTTTTTCTGTCCTGTAGATTTTTAGCACTGATATACCAGCTGATGAATCTGGGAAAATTCATAAATGTGTCCTATTTACTAATTAAGTTCCTTATTCAGGTGTAAAAAGTTTTATATAATCATTCATACTGCTTAAAGTTCATGGTCCTAAAAATAATCACAATTACAATATAAAATATATAATTTTTTTTTAGACTTCTGAAAAACATTTATTTAGCAAAACTCCAGTTTGTGCAAGACTTTCGTTGTTGACAGTACTTAGAAATAATAGGTGCCATACACGATGAGCATTGATTTTGTTTTTAATTTTGAAGGTGAAAAATGAATTTGGATATTTTATTTTTTTACTATAATGTTGACTTTTATAACCCTGTTAATTATTTTACAGGTAGTCGACGCATTGTGGACGTTATGGACGTGAACACCCAGAAGGGAATTGAAATGTCGATGGCTCAATGGCGACGCTACTATGAGACGCCCCCATCTGAGAGAGAAAAGCTCTACAACGTCATCAGTCTGGAGTTCAGCCACACCAGACTAGAGAATCTGGTCAAACGACCGGCGTCTGTAAGAATCACTTTCATACCTTAGGATAATCTATATCCGCAGTGTATTAAAATCATCCTGTTTCTTTATTTGTTTGCATCTGGAAGGCTTTGGATAAACATTTTCACGATGATAGTGTTAAAGTTTTATCTACTTATGGAAACGGTGTCAGTTACCAGTGATAGTAATTTTCTAGCCAAAAAATTTGGATGAATGTCTTCTACTCTTCATTATCCAGGTGGATCTCATTGACTGGGTGGACAACATGTGGCCTCGCCATCTCAAGGAGAGGCAGAGAGACTCCACAAATGCCATCATAGACATGCATTATCCCAAAGTACAGAAGTGAGTGGAAACAGCCACTCATTCACATGTATCACCGTGTAACATTTGCTATTTAACAGTAAAGAAACGCATAACGCATTAGATTAAAAAAAATAATAAAAATTTTAATTTTTGTATTTAATTTGTAATGTTTATCCAAAAGTGAAAGTATTTTCTATCCTTCCTCTGTATCTCCCAGGTACTGCCTCATGAGCGTTCAGGACTGCTTCACAGACTTCCACATCGATTTTGGTGGAACTTCAGTCTGGTACCACATTCTGCGAGGGGCAAAGGTCTGTGCTGCCATCACGTTGCTGAAAAGACCAGTTTTTACAGTTTGGATGTTGGTCTGGGCTTTTATTTCATTAGAAATAACTTTATTTGTGTCCTGAAACATAAAACCCAATCACTATAGCATGTACTGACTTTATTTTTTGTTAATATTTAATACAACCATGATACAGTTACATAAATTTTAAATCAGAAAAATAAAACGATGTATTTTTATCTGCCTATTTAGTTTTAACACTGATGTTTTATGCAAAATTAAACTGGCTGCATCTTAGAGCAGAACTTAATAATCTGTTTTTATTATGTTTGATTTGATGCATCTTATACCTTCTCAGAGATTCATTTGTCCGTGTTTATGCAAAATAATAAAATAATTTAAAGAGGGAAATTAGTCAATTCTATGTGATGTTTAAAGTGATCAATTACGTGATCTGACATGCACTCTGTTTAAACTCAAACTCAGTTAACATACATGTGTGTGTGTGTGTGTGTGTGTGCTTCCCACAGGTGTTTTGGCTCATTCCACCCACACCTCAGAATTTGGATATGTATGAAAACTGGGTTTTGTCAGGAAAGCAGGGAGACATCTTCTTGGGGGATAAGTGTTGCGACTGTCAGAGGATAGAGCTCAACCAAGGAAACACCTTCATAATCCCATCAGGTCGGAAGCTCCAACAAATAAACAAGGCATAAATGTAACAAATATGTTTTCTACCTTCTATCACACGTGGCCTCTGTGTTAATTTTCGTTTTATGCGTTGCAGGTTGGATTCATGCCGTCTACACTCCAGAGGACACTTTAGTGTTTGGGGGAAATTTCCTTCACAGCTTTAACATCCCCATGCAGCTCAACATCTACAACATTGAGGACCGCACACGGGTAAGAAGCAATTTGCTTCATGCCTTAAATTTTCTTCCCTGTTCAGCCACTCTATAAAAACAATTGTTCTTTTACATTTTAAACAAAACATGAAAGAATCAGCAAGACACAGTTAAATGATGTGTACATCTATTGATGAAAATCATAAATCTGCTTAGACTTGCTTGCTAGTAATTCACATTTTTGTACAATGCAGAAGTTATTACTAAACATACCTGGTATTATGCTGATCCACCCTGCTTGTGTCTCTTTTGTATTAGCTTTATTTTTTCTGTTTTCTTGAGTTGAACTCATTCAAATGAAACCCAATTTATTTAAATTCGAAATTGTAAATAGGTTTTAGTCCACATTGACTCAATGAATTGCTTTAAAACTAACATTTTATTTTTTGTTTAAACAAGTTGTATTTGTCAATGCATGCATGATTTAACCTAAATATCTTATGCTTCCTGAATCCTGTCAACATGTATCTCATTGCGCACTTATATGGTGCAACAACAGGCCATGACAATCGGATATAATCAAGTAATCTCCTAGAACCACAAGTTACTTTAGGGGGAGTGATACAAAGGACTTTTTTTTTCTTTTCTTCCACCAAGCCAGTCGTAGAGCTGAATGTATGCAGTTGTTGCTGTTTGAGTTTTCTCTATATTACACAGAAAGCTGAGTTACTGCATCATAATAAATAAAAAAATTCAGCATTGGCTGAGGACTCTTAATTCCTCGTATATATTTACAAACAAACAAAACAAAAAAAACTAATTTGTATTTTGCAGCTTTAACAAAAAAGATCTTAATAGGTAAAAGTTTGCTTCACTTTCAATTTCTCAAACAAGTTTCATAAAATCCAAATCAAGCTTATTGAGTTTTTTTTAACCTTTTCTCCCTTAGCTTGCTTACATGAAGGTTTAGTATGACTCACCAAAGTGCATTAGGTAAAACAGTAATGACCAGAAAACGATAAACAATCAAAAAAAAATAAAAAAAAATCCATCTCTACAGCTCCATATGTATTTTGTATTGAAATACACAGAGAGCTGGAGTATTTGACACGTTTTTCAATGTTTCTCACAAACGATAATTTCACATACAATGGTGCTTGAAAGTTTGTGAACCCTTTAGAGTTTTCTATATTCATCCATAAATATGAATCAATCATCAGATTTTCACACAAGTCCTAAAAGTAGATAAATATATATAAGTATATGTGCTATGTGTTGTCATCATTGTATGTTTCCATACAATGGCAAAATTAATTCTCTGCATTTAACCCATCACACCTGGGATACACCCAGGTGGAGCAGTGGGCAACTATGTGAGTGTCCGGGGAGCAATTAAGGATTAGGAGTGTTGCTCAGAGACACCACGACATGTGGGAATGGCTGGGGATCAAACCTGGGACTTTCGGGTCCCGAGTTGACTGCCCTGCATCTACCCCATCTCGGCTCATATAAAGAGAACCCAGTTAAACAAGTTAGACAAAATATTATACTTGGTCATTTATTTAAGAGGAAAATTATCCAGAGGCAGCGCAGTGACACAACTGGTAGAACTGCTGCCTCTCAGTGAGCAGGTTCTTGGTTCAAATCCCAGTCTGGGGGCCTTTCTGGGTGGAGTTTGCATGTTCTCGCTGTGCATACGTGGGTTTTCTCCGGGTACTCCGGTTTCCTCCCACAGACCAAAAGCATGAATTTTTTGTGATTATCGTACCCACCACTGCACCCTGTATTCACTGGTTAACTGGACATAATTAATTTCACGCAGACTCTCTCACTGGTACATTTTCATCTTTAAATCACTTCTTGGTCTGCTGCCTTCATACATCTCCTCCTATATGTCTCTGCATGAGTGCAGCTACAGCGTGCGCTCTCAGGACATTATTACCTGCAGCGTCCCCTCAGTGCGGACTGAACTTGGCAAAAGGGCCTTCTCCTACTCCGCTCCTGTTTCCTGGAATTTCTTGCAGAAAGATCTGAAGCTCTCGACTTTGACCTCTAAGTGGCTTTAAGAATCTGTTGGACTCCTGGCAAGGACCAGTGCAGACATGTTCCTGTTTTTAGTTGACTATATTCATCTTTTAATCTAGCTGTTTTTGCTTTTTTTTTTTTTTTTGCTAGCTTATTTTAATTTGTAAAAAAAAAAAAAAAAAAATCTGTTTGTTTGAAGAATTTGTTCCCATTCCTCCATACAGAACAGCTTCAACTCTGGGATGTTGGTGGTTTCCTCACATTAACTGCTGCTTCAGGTCCTTCCACAGCATTTAGATTGGATTAAGGTCAGGACTTTGACTAGACCTTTCCAAAACATGAACTTTATTCTTCTTGAACCATTCTTTGGTAGAACGACTTGTGTGCTCAGGGTCATCGTCTTGCTGCATGACCCACCTTCTCTTGACATTCAGTTCATGGACAGATGTCCTGACATTTTCCTTTAGAATTCTCTGATATAATTCAGAATTCATTGTTCCATCAATGATGACAAGCCATCTTGGCTCAGATTCAACAAAACAGGCCCAAACCATGATACTACCACCACCACGTTTCACAAATGCACAGATTTCACTTGCTGCTGTTCGGCATACTGTTTTTACTGTTTTTATGCTATTAGTGCTTAGTGTATATTTAGTTTGTTTTTCTTAGTTCATATCTTGGATCTTATTGCTGTTTTTCTTTTACATTTTATTGTGAGATGTAACTGGGACCCTGTTTACATAATCTCGTTCCAACACATGTACCACATGTGGTGTGTATGACAAATAAATCTCTGACTTTCAGACGCTGACAGATGGGATAAGGTTCTTATGCAGGAATGCATCATTTTCCTTTCTCCAAACATAACGCTTTTCATTTAAACCAAAATGTTCTATTTTGGTCTCGTCCATCCACAAAACATTCTTCCAACAGTCTTCTGTCTTGTCCACGTGATCTTTATCAAACTGCAGACAAGTAGCACTGTTATTTTTGGAGAGCAGTGGCTTCTCCTTCAACCCTGCCATGCACACCGTTGTTGTTCAGTGTTCTCCTGATGGTGGACTCATGAACATCAACATTAATGTGAGAGAGACCTTCAGTTGCTTAGAGATGACCCTGGGGTTCTTTGTGACCTCGCCGACTATTCCACATCTTGCTCTTGGAGTGATCTTTGTTTGGTCCATCACTCCTGGGGAGGGTAACAATGCTCTTGAATTTCCTCCACACGATCTGTCCGACTGTGGATTGGTGGAGTCCAAACTCTTTAGAGATGCTTTTGTAACATTTTCCAGCCTGATGAGCATCAACAACTCTTTTTCTGATTTCCTCAGAAATCCACATTCGTGCCATGATACACAAACATGTTGTGAAGAGCAGACTTTGATAGATTCATGTTGTTTAAATCAAACAGGGTGTCCACTCACACCTCATCATCGTCCCATTGATTGAAAACACCTGACTCTAATTTCACCTTCAAATTAACTGCTAATTATAAAGGTTCACATACTTTTTCCACTCGCAAATATGTAATACTGGATCATTTTCCTCAATAAATAAATGACCAAGTATATATTTTTCTTATTTGTTTAACTGGGTTCTCTTTATGTACTTTCAGGATTTGTGAAAATCTGAGGATGTTTTAGGTCATATTTATGCAGAAATATAGAAAATTCTAAAGCGTTCACAGACTTTTAAGTACCACTGTATGTTCTTTAGCTTTGTTTGACAGAGAAAATTTAAACTTCTCAGAAACAGGTGTTACTCATCTAGAAGTGTTCAGCTGTATCAGAAGACAGGCAGAGGTGTTTTTGAATCTGGTCTGTGGTCTCTTCAGTCAATTTTATTTTATTTTATCAGGTTCCAGCAAAGTTCCGCTACCCGTTTTATTATGAGATGTGTTGGTATGTCCTGGAGAGGTACCTCTTCTGCCTGACCAACATCTCCCACCTCACACCTGAGTTCCAAAAATATTCACTTGGTATTGGTAAGAATAAATAAAAACAAAACAAAAAACACAGCCATTCTTTTTTTTTCCCCTCTCAAAACTACCTAGCTTCATTGCTGACTTGTGCTACTACATTTTAGGGCTGACTCCAGCTGACCTTGAAATCAGCGATCTCTCCATGGACAGCACTTCCAATGGAATTGACAGTGAGGATGAAAAAGAAGTTGATAAAAAGGAAGAAGAGACCAAAGATGATGTCATAAGTGAACAGCCAGCCCAAGTCACCACCCCTCATCATGTGCTTACCCCTTTTGAACTTGAGGGCCTTTGGAACCTAGTAGGAAAGCTGGAGGAGCTGCCGGCCCACAAAAAGTGTGCTCCTGCAGGGATTGGACGTCCTGAAGCCCTGCTTGAAGACTTGAGGGTGGGTATCTCCAAATTAACTCCGGGATCTCACATTATACACACTACAGTGACTCAGACACTGAAGTTGGTTGACTTTAACTCATGTGCACCGCCTGATTTTTATCTCTAGAATGTTTTGAAGAATTGTGTAAATGACGACATTAAGCTTGCCTACACCGGAGAGCCTATTGTCAAATGGCCTAAAAGGGTGAGCATTCACAAATCTTGTACTTTTTTTTTCAGCTAGCTGCAAATATAAAGGAATATTCCTTTGAGATGTTTTTGTGAGCAAACAATTATATCAATAACTCTGTCATTGCAGCTGCCAACCTTTGATTTCTAAGCATAACACAAGCAGACTTAAGTCTGACTGATGTAATTTTCTAATGGTCTGCTTCTTATTTTGTACAGCCATTGTGGTACCAGCCACCCCCTCCCCCTCCACCTGCTCTTTACCGTCCTCCTCGGTCAGGCCCTTCCCTCCACAAGTCTCAGAAGCCCATCAAACGCACGTCCATTTCGGCTCTGAGGCGCAGACGGGTGAGGTGCAAGCGTTGTGCTGGCTGTCGCAGGAAAGAGTGTGGCGACTGCCTGTACTGCCATGACATGAGGAAGTTTGGTGGGTCTGGACGTATGAAGAAGGGCTGCATGATGAGACAGTGCCTAACGGTAGGGCATTATACCAGTTGTTACATTTTGTATGCAGGAAACTAAACAATATGGCTTATGTCTCTGTGTGTGTGTCTTTATTTCTGAAAATTAAAGTAACATTGTAAAATTGTTACTCTTGTTGCTTAAGACATTTATTAAATAGATTAGTAACCTACATTTCATTGAATTTCACAACTGAAGTATGTAATATGTGCAAGCATCAGATATGAGGTTCTCATGATGTTTTGTCCGTCCTCCAGCCTGCCTTGCCCAACACCGCTCGATGTGCCACTTGTGGAGAGGGCGAGTTTGATGAATCTGATCCGAGCACTCACTCTCTCATGGAGTGCACAATCTGTTCACAGATTGTTCATCGTCAGTGTGTAAAGGTGAGTCTCGTCCACTAGGTCCACTGATGAATCAGTTTGTTTGTCTCTCTTAAGTCTGACTTTCTGGTTCTGATTTTGAGCTACATATTGTTTTGTTTTGTTGTTTTAAAGTGCTGCGACTGGGAGCATACACACACATTATGTACTTTTTCTTTGAAATAGGTTTACAACTAAACATTGAAGATTAAATAATTATCTAACTCCAAATCACTTAGGAACTGCTTTTCTTCACTTAAACCTTTTAAGCACAAAATGACAAAATGGTCAAAGGATGACTTGTTGGGTTGTAGATGAAGTAATTTATTTGATATAAAAGTGAGTTTTTATTGACATCACTTCACACAGTAGTCCAAAACAGGCTTAGTAGTTACACACTTTGTGAGTGTCATGATGGCTGCTTTATTTAGTTGCCTCTGTACACACAAGTTTACACAAACATTGAAACAAATTGCAATTTATTTTTAACTCCCAGTGACCAACTTTGACTGTACACACACACAACTCTGCATGTAATAATGTGTTAGTCTGCAGGCAGACAGTCGAGATCTGAAAGCACAACATTCACAACTGATCAAAATTAGTCAGCAGATGAGTCTGATCATCTGCCTGTCACTGATCTAAAACTGAATATGCCTGAGTTGTTGTGTTGCTGCATTAGTTGGTCAACTTATAGTTTGTGCTGTGTTACAGGAACCCGGTGAGGGGAAGATTAATACGGACCTGCCCAGCTGCTGGGAATGTCCAAAATGTTACCAAGGCACAGGCTCTGCATCAGAGGTATAACACTTACACACATCTTCATAATTATATACTTAAACTTATTTTCATTAAGCTTTTCTCTCAGCGGATCAGTCGGTATGATTTTATTTTCGTCATCAGACATTTTATTGACTTTTGGATGCTGTGTGATTTTTGATGCACAAATGAACTGACGTTTCAATATCAGTCTTCCAGTGAGGAGGAAAGTGCAGAGTCGGATGGTTCAACATTTTTGCCAGAGTCCAAGCTCGGTTATCAGGAAGGCAACGGGGCTGGAGATGGAGCGAAACGGGTGAAACGTAGTAGACCCCCAGGCCGACCGACAGCCCCGCCACCTTCACAAAAACTGCTACTGCAGCATCAACAAAGTCGCAAACGAGAGAATGCACTGGAGTACAGGCTAAAAAAGAGGGTACATTCTACATGCTTTGACATTTTCAGTGTGTTTCACAATTTTAAAAACGTTGTTAGATTTGTATTGGTTCAACATTTTTTTTAATTTTTTTATTCCTCAACTTCTTTTTACAGATAAAACTGGAGAGGACCAAACTTTTAAGAGTAAGAATTCACTTTTCTTGTATGGTTTCTGTATTAAAGTAGCTGACAATTTATGTTGTGTTTTAATATTTTGATTTCAATCATATGAAGCATGAATTATCCCAGTCGTATTTTTTGAACTTTCAGAAACAGGCCACTTTAGATCGCTCTCCAAGGCTGCTGAGCTCCCGGCTTATGTCCCGCCTGCACTCTCTGAACAGCAGACTGTCTCAGAACAAAGGTCGAGGCTCCACTTGGGCAAGTGGCTCATCTTACAGGAGCGTTCCAGGAGGTACTGGCTCCTTTCACCAGCAGCTGGTACTTAAGCCAAAAGGAGAGCCCTGTAGAGGGAGGGGGAGAGGTGTGAGACTGCGAGGAGGAGGAGCGGGACGTGGCATCAGTGGTGGAGGAAGCCACGCAGAGTTGGAGGAGGAGAGCGAGGACACCAGCAGCAGCAGCACCAACAGCAGCAGCAGCGACGAGGAGGAGGAGGAAGAAGAGGAGGAGGAAAGTGGACTGAACAGGACGGGAGGCGATAAAGAGAACCAGCCCCAGTCGAGGCAAGGAGGAGCAGTCACTAAAGAACACGATGATGAAGGAAGTGAGGTGCCCAGCCAAAATGGTGCAGAGGATGATGAGGAAGAGGAAATGGAGCAGGACATTCCAAAAGGAGACAAAGATGGCTCCAATCTAAAAGTGACACTTCAGAAGCCACCCAGAGCAAAACAGGACTCGACAGCCATCGTCCCCAAATTAGAGGCTGTTGCCTCTCAAACTGCCACCTCTACAACGCACAGCCAGAGCAGAACTCTCATCAGACCCTCAATTAGAAATGGCCCTCGTCCTGATCAACATCCAAACAAGCACACACCCCCACAAACCCGAAGTGGACACGCGTATTCTCATTCTTCTCATCCAGAGAGACTGGAAGCATCAAAAAGACTGAGAACAACCAGGACAGCTAAACTGAGCAACGGTGCTGCTGCTTCTTCTTCATCCGAGCTTCAGCATCTCCGCATCCCTCTGTCCGCTCTGCAGGAGGGAGGGGGAGAGGCAGACAGGGAGAGCGCCGGGAGCAACCCAAGCTGTGAGAGGGAGGTTTGGGTGTCTGTCTTTCGCTACTTGAGTCGTGCAGACCTGTGCGTCTGCATGGCCGTCTGCAAGAACTGGTACAAATGGTAAGACCCTTTAACTGGTGTTTTTATCAGACACTTGGTTTGGATCAGATTTTCCAGTTAAGGCTGTTTGCGTGCAAGTCACATTTTTTTATTTATTCTTACTAAAAGCTACATTGAAACAAAAGATTGTGGTGTTTTGTAGTTGTAGAAGATAAAATGCTCACAATTTGTTTTGATTCATTAGTGAGAAGAAATGTATAAAAATAGTCACCATCTTGTCTGGGGTGGCAGGTTTCAGCACCACACTGACACAACAGAAGTTTTCTTTTCAAAGTGTGAACAGCTCAGCATCTGCTTTAAAATGTTCAGTTATCTGAATCTAATCAGTGTCTCGCATGCGGAGCTTTATTAAAACACTGTCGCTGCTTGTTTCCATTGTTCAATGATGAAAGGTGATGAGACATAATCTGAGCATCATCCAAACATTTCTGTGTGCAGCTGGCTGTGAATTTTTTTTTTTTTTTTTTTTTTCAAACATGCAGTGATGTTATGTCAGTGCAATATGCTGATGTTCAAAATCAAGTGGGTTTTATTTGTTCGTATGGTTGTATATCAACAAGAGGGACACCTTAGGTTATTTTTCTTCAGTAGTCTGAGGAAAGTACTGTAACCTGTTCATTAGAGAGTTCACTTTTTATTTTATATTTTTTCAATCTGATTTATCTTAAGTTATGAATGTTATATTTTAGTTAACATTATGTTATTAGTTACAAAATAATTAAAAACTGTAGCCTCTTTGTTCCAACAAATGTAGAACTTTGAACCGATCATTATTTTAAAGGGTTTGGAGTCAGGATTTAAGTTTTGAATAGATGTTAAAGAGTGTGCATTTGTCTTTAGGTGTTTAGACAAGAGGCTCTGGGCGCGGATCGACCTGAGCATCAAGCGAAATGTTAGCCCCCAGGCCCTCACAGGAATCATAAAGAGACAGCCCGTCACACTTGACCTCTCCTGGACAAACATCGCTAAAAAACAGCTCAACTGGCTCATTGGCCGCCTGCCTGGTACACACCTAATTATTGAGTTTCAAGAGTTTACATTCAAATAAAATCCTCGGTTATTAACTCGGGTGTTCCATGTTTCTCAGGGCTGAAGGACCTGATGCTGTCGGGTTGTTCCTGGTCATCTATTTCAGCTCTGTCCTCCACTGGCTGTCCTCTCCTTCGATCTCTGGACCTGCGGTATGCAGACGGGGTCAAAGACTCTCAGATCAGAGATTTAGTCACTCCTTCAGGTGAGTAGAGAGCACCTCACAAGATATGAGGTATTAATTTATCCATGTGATTTTACTTTTGATTCTTTGGTTTCTCATGTCACTTCTATACTCGTCTGCGATCAAACTCTTAATATGTCTGTCATTTGTCTCTGATTCTCTGCTCTGGTGCAGGCTGCGACAATCGCAGCCCGTTGCGGAACATGCAGTGTTTGCGGCTCGCAGGTCTGGACATCAGCGACTCCACTCTGCGTCTGGTGATTCGCCACATGCCCCATTTAACAAAACTGGACCTCTCCCACTGCAACAGCCTCACTGACCACTCCATCAACCTGCTGACTGCAGTCGGCTCATCCACCCGGAACACACTGACAGAACTCAACTTGGGAGGTGAGGTGATGGTTGTAAAATGACAGATTTCATTTTTAGGAACGAACTGACACATGAATGGCATCGTTCTACATCAGCTTAGTCAAAGTGTGTGTCTCTCTCCCAGGCTGCAGTAAACTGACGGACACATGCTTGAAGTATCTCCGCCGCCTCTCCTGCATCTCGCTGCTCGACCTACGAGGCTGCAAAGGTGTCAGCAGAAAGGCCTGTGAGACCTTCATCTCCGAGCTATCAGTCAACACACTCTACTGCTTATCAGATGAAAAACTGATCCAGAGGATATCCTAGTCGCCTGCGTTCTCTCCCTGCAGGAGTGATTTGAGATGCAAAAAGTGGAGGGCGTGGATGCTGACATGATTAACAGAGGCAAAGGAAGCTGTAGGAGGGGTGGGGTCTGATGTGGAGGGCTTGCCCCCTTGTTAGCTGAAACAATGTCTTACTTTTTTTTTCTTTGTACCTACAAAGACTCAGGAGCTTTTATTTTGCTGTTGCTAATTCAACGTTCCTTAAAGAAGAAAAGAGTCTAATTCTTTATTTACAGGAGTCGGGGAAGAATTAACTCACTGTTCTGACTTCACTTCCTGTGGATAAGCTCCTCCTCAGTCCTGACTCCCATCCCAACCTTCAAAAAAAGACTTAAGTTGTATCCTTGGAATAAAATAAAAAAGTTTTCTGGAATGATTCTGTTTGGATGATCCACTATAAATTCACATTTGTCTTGCAATATATTTGATCTTATTCAGCTACATTTAGGTGCGTCATGTAATTGGGTCATTATTTTTTTTTGTCAGGGAGACATTCACTTGCGCTTTATGCACATTTATGCATTAATTGTTTTTATATCAGGACTTTTTTTTTTGCGTCCATCTACTGGAATGGTCTGTGTTTTGCCAGTTTTGGATTGAGCTATTTCTGTCATTTCCTGTACTTCAGTGGTATACATTGTAGAGTGCACAAGGTGGTACAAAGATTGTGAGTTGGCAATCATCAAAGCAGCAAGACCTCACCCCAAGAAAGGGCAGGTTTTGAGTGTGGGGGATAAGTTGTGGGATAAATGGTGCATTTTCAAACCGCAGTTCAAGTTTAACTTCAGGTGCTATTATTTTCAAACTTAAATTGCTTTGTTTTTGTACAGACAGCGTTTAAAGCAAAAATACTCTAGACAAAACTGCTCCCCGCCCTTCTTTGATACAGGTTTTTCGTTTTGTATGACTTTAAAAAAAATGTGATTATTTACATGTTCAGTTTAGTGTGGAGATGTAAAATTTTATTTTTGAAGCTTCTTTGTTCTCGTCAAGTATTGCGACTCTTAATGAAAGGTCTCCTCCACCCGACCACTCTCCGGGCCATATCTCTCAAAATGAATATAATTATATAAATATTTACTTTTGTGTAAATGTTTTTTCTCTTCTTAGATTATAAAAATGGGAATCCTGTAGCATTGTAATTATTTTGAGAAGCTTTTTTTTTCCACTTCATGTTGTGTTATTTTTCAAGAAAAATAAAGAAATGTTCAACTATTTGGCTGTTTTACTTAATTGTTTTGCATTTGCTTCTCTTGGCTCCATCCAACATCTCTGCATAACCTGGAGACAATGACACTTTAAAAAAATGGTAAAAAGCTCATGGCAGCGTGAAAGTAGAATGTGTCTAGTTTTATTTTGACAAGAAGATTACAAAACTGGATACACCTCATTTATACACTGGCCGGCTTTGCAAACAACCTCCCTCCGGAAAACGCCCTTTTTTTTGCGCCCAATTCCCGCTCAACATTACATTAAGCCGGGTCGTGAACCGGAGTATAGAAAACGAAGAGAGACTAAGATGGGAACGGGGGATGGTTGCAGCCGCACCGGGCAAGCTAGCTAACTTTAACAATTGGCTATTTCATCGATTTGCTTTTATTTTATAGTATTTTATTTATCCCTAAAAATGAGTGGACACTGCCTCGACTTATTAGTTGGTTAAATTAGTTGTCTCGCATCCCGCAGCATGGAAACCAGGCGCAAAGAGGAGCTGAAAACTATGTTGTTATTAGCCAGTTAGCCTCCGTTAGCCCAGCTAGCTGTTAGTTACGCCGAACAAGAAAGCTGAGTTAGCTCAGCTGTCGTGGCGTTACTGCGCTCCGTTGTCCCTAAAAGTCTTCACTAGCGTGTCTCTGTCAACGACGGCCATGGCTCAGGAGGCCTTTCCGCTACATCTTCTCGTGTGGAACAACCAGTACTTGGAACTGGACCGAGAGCTGACGAAGAAAGAGGTAAGAAGTGGGAGAGGCTGGCTGCTCTTACAGATGTCGCACTGCAATGCGCTGATGATGATGATGATGCTGGGGGCTTTTTGTTTCGCCTTTGGCTGGGCAGCACGACGTGGAGCACCTGGATCCGAGGGGTCGGACCCCGCTGGAGCTGGCTGTGTGTCTGGGCCACCTGGAGTCGACCCGGGTGCTGCTCAGACACTCTGTGGACCCGACACACTGCAACCCGCAGGGCTGGACCAGTGAGTACCGCTGCTGCTCCCAGCCTCAGGTTTTCATGGACATGGGGAGGTTGTTGGTGGAGGGGCTTTGTTTGGTAAATGTTTGGACTTTCAGTCTTGCAGGAGGCGGTGAGCACCGGGGACCCGGAGCTGGTGCAGCTGGTGCTTCAGTACAGAGACTTTAAGAGAGCCACTGAGAGGCTGGCGGGCATCCCTGAGCTGCTGAGCAAGCTGAGACAGGTAACATCACCTGAACAAGAGCCTCAGGTGATCTGGCTGACCATCCAGCTTGGCTTTATACTCTCTGAATCCACAGCTGTAAAAAAAAAACAAGACATTAATGACCAAAATAAACTTACTCTCTCTGTCTACAGGCACGAGACTTCTATGTAGAGATGAAGTGGGAGTTCACCAGCTGGGGTGAGTGGATTTAGACTTAATACACACACAGGTGCACGCACACACACACACACAGATCATTTTCAGCACTCCTGTAGCTGGACAGCTCCTACAGCTGTTTTGTAAAAACACAGCTGTTAATTTCACACTTTCAAAAAAAAAAAACCCTCAAAATGCATCTGCAAATTAAAACTACTCGTGGCAAAGTATAAAATCAAATATAAAATGGCTATTATTATCTAATCATGCAGTTTGAAACTGTTTACTCCAGTAGTTTTTAAAATATGTCGAATGGCAACCTGAAAGGCGGCTACGCCTCCAACGTAAACAACGGCTGAATCCGCCAAAAGCTGCCTGGATGCTTGAGTCACGTGACTGGCCAAGGTTAGGAGCCTGTGTAGGAAAACACATTGTCGAGTCAGACAAGTGTAGAATCTCAGAGAACACGTTTAGGTGGAAGTATAAGAAGGAATCGGCTGCTAAACAGGAAGGAAAAGAGAACAAGTAAAACAACTGTCAAGAGTAAATACCAGGGATCAAGCAGGGAGGTGAAGCGTCATAAAGCCTGAGCTCATTAAACACGTACAGCTTCTGCAAAACCTCTGCTGGACCAGTAAGTTTAGTGTCTGACATCTTTTCAGTCACTTCAGCTGTTTCAGTAGGTAAACAAATACACGTAGTGGGCATCCTGTCACAGATTTGGCTTGGAAATTTTTAATTTAAAGACATGTTTCTTATCAATATTAGAAAACTACTGTTTAGCTTTACTTTATGGGTTAGTTTTTTTGTCTGATCTCCATGATTTTGTGACGAGTATATTTAAAGTAATGCTTTATGTGCTGTATATTTCACAGGGTTACTGAGAAATGTTTCTTGTGATCGGATTAACTATCTTTGATCTGTTGTTATCAACTTTATAATGACGTAATCATTAAATGTATGAGTAATGTTGTTCCATTTATAGTGCTAAGCATGTAGTGGGACATCACTGGTTTTTGAAAATTATGAAAAACACGATCAACAAATCAAGTCAAAAGGTGAAACATACTACTTAAACTTGTCTAAACACAAATATTCCACAAATAAAAAAAAAACCAATTATCAAATAGTTATTTAGAATCTGTTCTGTGCTGTTAAATAAAAAAATAAAGAGGAAAACTTATTTTGAAGATAAAGGGTGCAGTATTTTATTATTTATTATTTTTGAAACATAAAGTATTTTACTGGGAGAAGGATGAATAACTTAAATTGGCTGCTATTATCTACATGCAAATATCACCAAATCTGTTAAAATAAAAGGAACGAATGGCCAAAACAGGGTAACAGTCTTCAGTCAGTCGACAGTGGACTAACTCGGGAAGCTGAAGGTTTTACCAGGAACATCTCAGGTCTTTGACTTAAAGTTCATAAATCTTATAGACGGGCTTTTAAGAAGCACAGTTTCTAAAATTTGTAAAGATTATCACATAACAATAATCTGTATGTTTCTACGATACATTTAAATTAAATGTGAATAGATAAAACGTGACAAATACACACATAATTTGAAATCATTGCTTTTTAACGTTCAGTCTTTTACAATCGGATCAAATTAGATAAATAATATTTACTAAAATGACACTTGATCACACATGCTCAGATGTTTGCTTCTTGCTGCCTTTTAACTTTTGTCACTGTATAAGTCAGTGGTAGTAAACATAGTCATAATTTTATTTTTAAATCCGAACGTTAAATAAACAGCTTCATACTTTTCTGTGGTCGCCTCATTTTTGTTACATTTTGCCACTTGTTTGTAAAACGTCTCTCCTCTTCCTCACCTCTCGTCTCAGTGCCCCTAGTGTCGAAGGTCTGTCCCAGCGACGTGTACCGGGTGTGGAAAAGTGGCTCTTGCCTCCGCGTGGACACCACCCTCCTGGGCTTCGAACACATGACCTGGCTGAAAGGACGGCGCAGCTATATTTTTAAGGGTGAAGGTGGGTGACGCTGAACAGAACAGCAGAAGTTTGGAGTCTCGCCACGAGACTTTGCTCTGATTTCCCATCCGCTCGTCCTCCAAGATGATGGCGCCGTGGTGATGGAGGTGGACCACGAGAAGCAGGTGGTGTACACCGAGCCGCTCGTGTTGTCTCCTCGAGACGCGCCCTCCCTTCTGGCAGCCATGCAGCCGTCGCAAGAAAACACGGCTCAGAGGCTCACGTCGCCCATCGTCTCCACACACCTCAACACAAGAAGCATCGCTTTTGAGCGGTAACAAGAAAACAATATTTTCATTTGCTTTTATGTTTTCTTTGTGTGCTCACAAACATTCAGCAATGCTGATAAAATCTGCCTCTAAAGATCAGACTGAATGAACATTTCACATCCAGGAATAAGTCTGGAATCTGGGGCTGGCGTTCAGAGAAGACCGAGGTCGTCAGCGGGTACGAAGCCAAGGCAAGAAAACTGACGTCCACTGGGTGTTTTTTTCTTTTTCTTTTCAAAAGGTCTTATTTCATTTTACTCCATTGTCTGAGAGTACATATTCAGCATTGTTTGAAATAAAACAGCTATCAGTCAAAATCAACGATTAACTTCATAATGATGAAAAAAGAAAGAATCACCCGTTTGAATGTATTTAATGCTCAGTTTGATTTATGAAATGTCAAATACCAGAGGGTGCTTTAGTTTCATATGGCGTTTATAAAAGTTCAGCTCTTTTTAGTTAAGAAAATGTCATTTTTCTAAAATATTGACACATTTTCTGTGCGGCATTTCTATACATGAGCTGTCTAGTGACAAATTGCAATATTTCCAGAAGTCTCACACATCATGTCTTTGAACTTTGTTGTTTTCAGTGATTGTCGACTCCTAAACAAGTTTGCCTCAGATTTGGACCATTTGTCATTAAACTCTATAACACGTAAAATCTGAAATTGCAGACCTGGCTATGAGCTGTTTGCATAAGAAAAAAAAAATTATTCAAAGCCAATAAAAGCACCATAAGGGTCTTTATTTGAAGTGTAAAAAAATGTGTATTCATGCATCCTGTTTGGTTGTTCAGGTTTACAGCGCAACCAATGTGGAGCTGGTGACTCGTTCTAGGACAGAGCATTTATCAGACCAGGACAAGTCCAGGAGCAAAGGTAACAACACACAAACACACTCAGAAAGTTTATATTGTGCACACGGAGCTGCTTATGTGATAAAGGAGACAAAAGTTGTCAAATCAGTTTTGCTTGGTTTAAAAAATGACATCAGAGAAGTTAGAAACTGGCTCCACTTCACGGTTAAAAATGTCTGACTGTTAAACGGTTCAGAAACATCTTTAGTTCATGCTTTTTGACAAATTAAAACTCATCAATTCTTCATATTCTCAGGCTCAAAGACTCCTCTACAGTCTTTCCTGGGCATTGCTGAGCAGCATACGGCTCACAACGGGGTAAGCATCTCCATGGTGCACGTTCATGCGTTTGTTGGATCATGCTCACCTCTTACAGCCGCTGCATCCTCCGACCAACACTTACAGCAGCGTCTCTGTCCTTCTGTCAGGGCAACGTGTCCCAGTGTGCCAGTCCTCACAACCCCACAGCCATCACAGCCGAGGAATACTTCAATCCGGAGTTCAACCTGAACGGCCGGGACATCGGGCGTCCTGTCGAGCTCACAAGTAAAGTCCAGAGGTATGATAAAGGCAGCGCAGCAGTAAGACGGTTCACATTGTGTCCAAGCATGATAAAAAATTGTAGCCTTTGGCCCAGTCACAGGGTGGCACGTCCTTTCTTTCTGTTTGCTTTCTTATTTCTAGGTTTAAAGCCACGCTGTGGTTGAGCGAGACACACCCTCTGTCCCTGGCTGAGCAGGTGACACCCATCATAGACCTCATGGCCATCTCCAACGCCCACTTTGCCAAGCTGCGTGACTTCATCACCCTGCGCCTGCCACCCGGCTTCCCTATAAAGATAGGTGAGTCAAACCAAAGTACACCTGGTTTGTGTGGCGCGTGCGTTTCTGTACGAAAGCTCGTTGAGATTTCATAAACAGATTTCAGTGTCGCGCTTTATTCTGGAGATGTTACGATGTGCAGAAGCTGCAAACAACTCTTCTCCTTTTTGTTCTGTGCTCCAGAGATCCCTCTGTTCCACGTCTTGAACGCCAGAGTGACGTTCAGTAATCTGTGCGGCTGCGACGAGGCGGTCAGTTCGGTGACGGTCCACAACCCCGAGAACACAGAAGAAGCTGGTAACTTACCTCATGGAAACATGTTTAACAAAATGTCAAGGATTACAGCAGAGAACCAGAGATCCTCTACTGGGGCGGGTATGATGCATCATTTCTGTGTAACTCGTCTCTCAGGTCAGTCTCCTCCTGCCTTCCACTGTGAGGTTGACCCTTCGGTGTTCGAGCCCCCTCCAGACTACACCGTCCTCGGTCCAGGCCGCAGCGAGCCAATGAGGGACGAGGACGACAATCTGCTGCAGTTCGCCATCCAGCAGAGCCTGCTGGACGCCGGCACGGAAAGCGATCAGGTCAGGGCACGATGGTCGAACAGTCCGTTCAGCTTGGGTTGGTCTGAACAAGGACTGAATTTGTGTTTCTTTGGTGTATGTTTTTTTTTTCTCGCTGTCTTTACGAGTAATATCTTTAAAAATACTGGCAATGCTTTTCATATTATTGCTAAAAGGGTTCCAGCCAGTGTTACAGGAATAGTGACCTGCAACTTAAAGGCTTCAACTTTGTTTCCATGTTTGCATACATGAAGTCATTGCTAAAATGTTTATACTGTTTATTTTATAAAAATTAACAGTATTTTGAACTTTAAAAATACAGTTAAAAATATAAAATACTGAGACACCTCTGTGCCTCAGTGTTCAACGCATGGCACTAAAGGAGGGAGGGTGGTGTCAAACTCAGTTACTCAAAAGAACCAAAAATAAAACTTCTATTACCTGAGGGCCAATCTTGGTTCATATCTATTGAAAAAACTGAACTTAGTTTTCAGATGTAATATGTCAAATTATTCATAAACCTTTTCCCATCACAAATATACACTTTGGAATTGACTGAACATATTGATTAAAGAAAAATAGGGTACACTGAAAAATACATAATTATTAAAGTTAATTTCTTAACTAATGAACTAATATGGGACATTTATTTTTATGGGAAACGGGCAGTAAATGTTAATATATTCAGGCCTGATTTGTTGAAGGAACCTACAATTTCTTTAGTCATAAAAATATAAGACTTAAAACTTGACTTTCTTTGTTTCAGAGTTGGCTAATTGCTATGAGAAGTTCTGCACTAAGTATGCTCAGATTTTAAAGTAAAATTAAAGGCTATAGATCTAAAACGTTAAGTCAGGTCTTCTGGATGGATTCTTCTTTGTTGAAATGTTTTGTCTTTTATCCAGAAGACTTCTTCAGTCTGAGGGGCTGCAACAAACAGTCTAATAAGCAGAACCTTCTCACAGTGGATCAACCAGATTGCTGGTGACAGCCAGAACCAGTTGTTCATATTCATTTGTGGTTTTCACAAAGATGGCCTCCTTTACTCCTCTCTCAAACCATCGTTCCTCTCTATCCGGGATGTGAACATCTTCATTCCTGAACGAGTGACCACTGGCCTGGAGATGAGTGTAGACCGCAGAGTCCTGGCCTGATGATGTTGATCTTCTGTGCTGGGCCATCCTTTTGGCCAGTGGCTGTTTAGTTTCCCCGATGTAAGACTGATCACAGCCCTCCTGACACTGAACAGCATACACAACATTACTCTGTTTGTGCCGGGGGACTGGATCTTTGGGATGAACCAGTCTTTGCCGTAATGTATTTTGGGGTTTAAAAGCCACTGGGACGTTATGTTTAGAAAATACACGTCTGTTTCTCTGATACTCCCTCAACATACGGAATGACCACTGGTCTGGGTCTGGGTTCCTCCTTTTCACCTGATGGCTGACTGGAGTCCTGTTTGGGTTTCTTCTCTGCTTTCAGGAAGGCCCAGTTAGGATATCCACATTGCTCTAGAGCAGACCTGGGCATTGTACGGCCCCAGGGCCACATGCGGCCCTTTGGTTGACTCTGACCGGCCCCCATAAGGGGAATTACAAAATACATATGTAAACAAATGAAGTTAACCAAATTCAGATATAGATCCTCTCTCAATGATGATGTCAGCTTTGCTTCACATCTCCACTTCAGACCTTCAACCTGACTTTAACATTTCCGTTAAAGCCCAACAGAGACTAGACTTCTCTCACTAAACAAGAAAAAAGAACTGATAAACACCAAATGAGATGTTTAGACTACAAATGTAGGCACGTAAAGAACCGGGACTAGAAATCACAGTTCAGTGACGATCACTATTATATGATGTTTCATAATATTTGGAGTACAAAGACAATATTGTGATATATTTACAAAGCTAAGAACTTTTTCCAGCAGTATATAAAACTCAAAATGAGTTTTGGGATGAATGTGACTGAAAATGATCACTAATATAACGTCACAAATGGTAAAAATGTTAACAGTTTACCATTGTACTGGGAAATTTAATTGAATAAATGACATTTTTTGTAAGGAAACCTCGCTTTTTCGTTGCTTAATCATAACAAATACTCTTACCAGCTTGTTAAAACAGTGCTATGTACTGCTTTTAATAATGAAATACTGTTAATATTATGCAGTATTGAGTTAAGTTGAAATCAGGTCTCTCTTGTAAATGAGTCCTCGAGGCTCAATGGGATTTACCTGTCTTAATAAAGGTTGAATGAAAAAGTCATTTGTGCCAGCCCTCCACAATATTTGTTGTTTCTCATGTGGCCCCATGGAAAAAATAATTGCCCACCCCTGCTCTAGAGCCTGTTTTGTGTAGGATTTCTCCTTCTGCCTGGCTCCTGAGTTAGTGGGGACGCTGTCTGCTCTGTGATACAGAGTCCTGATGACTCCTAACTTGTGCTCCAAAGGGTGATGGGAGTCAAACTGCAAATACTGGTCTGTGTGGGTGGGTTTGTGGAACACCTCAGTTTTTCATTCAACCTTTATTTATTTAGACAGGTTAATTCCATTGAGCCTCGGGGACTCATTTACAAGAGAGACCTAATTTCTTAACAGTGATGACAACAACAACAATAGACCATCATAAAACAGGTATAGGTATACAAATTTAAGTTTCTCTCTCCTTTTTTTTTTTTTACAAATCAAAACAAAATGGCAACCAAAAGGACAATCAAGAGGAATAGTAGCAAAAAAACAGCTAGATTATAAGGTGATTTAGAAAACTAAAAAAACCCTAAAAACATGAACATGTCTGCGTTGGTTCTTGCCAGGAACTTAACAGATGTTTGAAGCCACTTAGAGAGGTCAAGGTCGAGAGCTTCAGGTCTTTTTGTAAAATATTCCAGGAAACAGGAGCAGAGTAGGAGAAGGCCCTTTTGCCTAATTCAGACCTCACTGAGGGGACACTGCAGGTAGTAATGTCCTGAGAGCGCACGTTGTAGCTGCACTCACGCAGAGACATGTATGAGGAGATGTATGAAGGCAGCAGACCAAGAAGTGATTTAAAGATGAAAATGTACCAATGGAGAAGTCTACGTGAGGTTCAAGATGACCAGTTAACCCGTGAATACAGGGTGCAGTGGTGGGTATGGTAGTTACAGCCAGTTATGAATCTTAGTGCACCATGATAGACAGAGTCCAACATCTGCAGGATGCTTGTAGGAGCGTTCATATAGATAATGTCACCGCAGTCAATGGAGGAAAGAAAAGTCACAGTTACAAGGTGTTTCCTAGCATTCAGAGTTAAACAGGATCTATTTCTGAAAAAGAAACCCAGTTTAACTTTTATTTCCTTATCAGGTTTTCCACGTGAAGCTTTAAAGCTGTGAGTCGACCAAGATACCTAAATATTTATAAGAATCGTTTGCAAATGTCCTCTATTGAGACCTCACAGTCCAAGAAAGCCAGCCTGCCTTTTTTTATATCTACTCATGTGAACTTGATGTATTTATGCAGAGTTGATGTGATCAGTGAAATGTTGGACTTCCTGAGATTTAATTTTAACCCAACAAATCAACATACCTGAACCAATGACTTGGTGGTGTCCCTGAAAAGGACGTCAAGGCTCTCTTTTCTACCTCCTCCATGTACAGGTTGGCAACAATAGGAGAAACTGGAGACCCCATAGCACACCCATGTTTCTGCCTATAATATTGCTCCCCATATGTGAAGTAGGTTGACTGCAGGCACAGTTTCAAGAGTTGACACAGTTCTTCTGTGGAAAGTGTGGTCCTGCTGCTCAGAGTGGTGTCTGATGTTAATTTTAAACTGACCACCTCTACTGCATCATCAACAGGAATGCACGTAAAGAGTGATGTGACATCAAAAGACCATTGTTTCATCAGTCTCCATGATGACCTCACTCACCTTATCCACAAAGTCCATGGTGTTCTGTATGTGGCGTTCTGTTCGTTAAACAGGGGCGGAGGCCTCCGTATACAACTGTCCCCCTCTTACAATGCTGTTATTTCAAGCCCTCTGTGAATAGCAAGCAGCCATCAGGGCACTAACAACCAGACTAAGTTTGGCTAATAGTCCTCATTTTGCATGTAAACAAGTTTTGGCTGTCTCCAGCAAACATGTGGATCCACTACGAGAAGATGCTGCTTTTAAGTCAGAGTCAGAGTCAGAGTCAGAGTTTCTTTATTGTCATTCGCACCTCATGTGGTACATGTGGTGGAGTGAAATTATGTACACAGGGTCCCAGGTCACAGGTTAAGACTGAGTTTGTTGCAGCTCCTCAGACTGAAGAAGTCTTTTGGATAAAAGACGAAACGCTTCAATGAAGGATCCGTCCAGAGGACCTGACTCAACCTTGTAAGATTTATCTGCCTGGATTATTGAGCATGTATCAGGACAACCAGCTATAGAGACTTAATCTGTCACAGATTGGCAAGACAACTCTGATGCATTTAAAACAATGGGTGGGGGGGTGGGGGGGGTGGCCTGCAGGCTTATTGTTGACATGCCGGCTACAGTTTCTTCAATTCAATAGGTGGCGATAATGGGCTAATTCATCAACTGTTTATTAGAAAGAAATTATGTTTGAGCAGGAATTTGACACAATTTTTTTTATTTTAATCCCTACAAAAATTAGATCTGTAAATGTGGAAAATGAGCAAATTTTATTCTTCTACTCGTGGTCGTCTTTGTCTGTCATGTCTGCAGCTCCACAAGGCAAAAATAGATTTGTTTCTAAAGACCCTGAACGGTCACAGATTAAAAGAAAAAGTAAAAATTTTTAAAAAGTTGGTTTATGTTTTGCTCATATCCCCCCAAACTCAACAGTCATCGTTTCAGTAGCTCATAATAATACATTGAAAAAGTTTGTCTCGTTCTGGTAGTTTCATCACCAACACTTGATTTATGAAATTTGTAGTATTTCTTCCTGTGAACCTTTTGTAAATGTAACATCAGTGCGCCCAGTGGTCGTTTAGTTTCCCCTCCATCTAAAGCCTGTCACTGTCTACGTCTGGTTTGTAGGTGACCATCTGGGAGGCGCTGACCAACAGCCGCCCGGTGCCGCAGTCTCCGCTGTACGAGGAAGACTCTCAGCTGGAGAGGTGAGCCACCTTCACCTGCATCAAACTTTTTAGTTTACTTCCATCTTCACACAGCTGAAGCTGTAGATAAACTTAACTTTGGTTAGGTGTCATCAGTTCAATAACAATAAGTCAGTTTGAAGCACAGAAATTAGACAAATTTGTGAAATATCAAATATATTCAATGTTTTGCTTGTTACTCCACGTGAATTATTTTAAGTGTCTCAACCTTCAAATAACAATCTGTACATCAGTCTTATATATAATTCTCAGATAATTCAGTGGGATTCAATCTTCGGATGCACCGCTCACAGACTAAACAAACCCAGACATTCTGAGAGTTTGAGAGAAAGGGACGGAGATGACGAGAAGGAAGTAAATATTTTAACAGAAGTTAGCTAAATCCAGAGACACATCTAACTTTGTTTCAAACACAAACGATGCTGTATGTCATTAGCGAGAGTTTCAAATAAAAATTTTAGAATATTGCAGTAAAAAGTTTGATGTCATGTCACTAAGCCCTGCAACATTTTTGTTTTCATAGATATGAAGTTTATCTGTTGTTGCTTATTAAATTCTAACTGGAAGTGAAACAGATTATTTGTTCTTTTTCAGAGAAATCTCTGGTGTCAAGTGTCATTTTATTAATTAAATCTTTAAAGAAGACTAATTAGATTTTTCATCATTGCTCCTGTAATTAAGTTTTAATAAGAGTCTCCTAACAGGACAGTGAATCTGTCCTCCTGTGTTTAATAATACTTGACGCTACGTCTTCATTTTGTCTCGTCTCAGGGCGATACAGGAATCCCTGTCCATTTCTCTGGCCAGCAGAGAGGGCGAGGACCCGCCCGACCTCAGCCAGCCCTCCTCTGTGTCCCCGCTGGACCCTGTCGCCAACTCCCCGCCGTCCTACAGGACAGGGACCGAGCCCCAGCTGTCCGAAACCTTCGGCGTGGTGAGCAGCTTCGACGAGCAGCTTCGGCTCGCCATGGAGCTGTCGTGCCGAGAGCAGGAGGAAATCGACAGGTGAGGGTGGAGACTTTTTTAAAGTTTTTATCCTGAGGCAATTATTTTTAAGAGATTTTATGAACAGTATTTTTGTTTAAGACCTGGGAAAACCTAAGATGTGTACATTTTATGGTTGTTTAAGATTTCAAAAGTACATAAAACAAATTATAAAAGTTTTAAATAAAGATGCTCAGAAAGCTTTGCTGCTCTTTTAGACTGCATATATATATCTGTATTGTGTTCTTTTATGTGTACTTGTACATAATTAAGCATAAAATGAGGATAGATGCCTTCTTTAAAGACTAACGTGCCTGAATGTTGTTTGCCCTTTTAGGTTATTTATTATTATTTATATAACTCATTTTTATTTCTTTACATTTAAACCAGACTCCTTTATTATTTAAAATTTTAATATGTAATGTGTTCATGTTTTGTTATTGTGCTTTTTATTTATATTGTTTTACTATTTGTTTTATTGGTCAACTTGTTTTTGTTCATGCAGCAAAACATTTGGTTGATTTTGTGCAAATTAATAAATTAAACCCGACTTGCTCTGATTTTAAACATGAATCAAATCATGATTAGCTTTATTTGGTCAAGCTGTGAACAAAACAAGGAATTACACTCTGGTTAGCTAAAAAGGTCAGCTAAAAGTAGCTAGTTTGAAACTAAAAGTAGCAAAAGTTTCCCTAAATCCAAAAACATCAAAAGGCTAAACAAAGCAAAAGGCCAGATGAAATTTAAAATATCAAAATGCTAGATGCAACAAAAATAAATATAAAAATGATAGATAAAAGCTAAAATTGCAAAAGATTAGTTAAAAGCTACTGGTAAATGTTGCAGAATAGTTGATAAAGGCTAGCTAATGCTAAAAGTAATATATTGGTAGCTTAAAACTAAAAATAGCATAAAAATACAAAGTTGAAAAAAGGCTAGCTAAAGATTAAAAGCTAAACGTATCAACATTATAGTAAAAAAAAGCTAAAAGTAAAAAATAGCAAAAGGCTATTTAGAACCTAAAAGTTCCAAATCAATAGCTAAAAGCTGTTGGCAAATGTCAAAGTAAAAGATAAATGTAGAGGAATAGCTAAAAGCTAAAAAAGCAAAAGGCTACCTAATGCTAAATGTAGAACATAGCTAAAAGCTAAACATGGCATAAAAACAGAAAAAATAGAGTATGTACGCTGAAGCTGATTTCTAAAAGAACAATGTATTTTAAGACGTTAATGAGATCTCAATGTATTATTCTGTGGTAAATACAAATGTTTGTAAATCCATCCATCCATCCATTATCTTTACCCGTTTATTCAATTTTGGGTCACGGGGGTCGCTGGTGCCCATGTCCAGCAATCACTGTGCGAGGGGCGGGGTACACCCTGGACAGGTCGCAAATCATGTTTGTAAATCAAGTTAAATATTTAAAAAAAATGTTAGAAAGTTAACAAAACAAATAAAAATCCACACACAGCAGCACCCACTGAGCTAAAATAGTACAAAGTCTTCAGACATAGATTGTAAAAAACGTGTGTGTATATATATATGTATGTATGTATATATAT